CGCAGGATTGCGGAAAAGTCTGAGAATGAGTAGTGTCAACGACAAAGGAATTTAGCTTGAGAAATCTTTTGATTTAATCTGGGCGGCTCCAGGTAAATCGCATCCATGACAACCGAATTGAATATTCCACAAATATAAATAATAGATTATTGGCAAATTGTATCATTAATTGGCTTTAGGCTTCGACAATTTCTGCTTCGCCATTGTACACTGGCACAACAAAAATAACTCTAAAATAATTGCTCCGAAATACACTTCCACACAACAGCCATGCACATATGCATGCTGAAAAATCAGTCATGAGAATATCAAATCAAATGAAAGCGGTTTGAAAGAAATAGAGCAGGCATAATAGAATCAATTGTTTAATCAAAGGGAAACTCGATGAACCGTTTAAGATCGAAAAACCGGCTTAAGTGGCCAGGGTGTTCCTCTATCGATGGGTGAGCCATCGATTTTTCGGCTTGGAAGAGTTGTAGACGAACGACAAAGTTCAGGGCGAAATCATTTCATCAAGAAATTGGCGTCAGCTCAACAACAAATTGGCCCCAAAACGAACAAATAAACTTAAAAAATAAAAAAATAAATAAAAAGCGCCCAGCAAACAACAATCGAATCCAATAAGGACGAACTGAATAACAACAGCAATAAATGAAACACGAAGACGGCGAAGAAAACGAAACGGAAAACTTTTAAGTACGCTATTAATGTTTAATTCGAGTTATTTAAGTTGGGCACTTAATTTAGCCGGGCCCAGATGCGACTGGAATGCTGTTGATATAGTTTTCTCCGGCAGGGCTGACCACACCCCATCCCTGTCCCTAACCCAATCCCTATCCCTATCCCCATTCGAATTACTCCCAATCAACCCACCTTCTTTAGGTGCGTGACCATTTCTTATTAAATGTTAATCATAAAAGCCCAAAACCAAATGGCCGCTGCCGGGGAATGGTGAAAATTGAACTGAAACGGGCTTATCGCCTTGACTGCCACGCCCCCTTTCCATGGCCCAAACGCCCCAGCCGCCCCAGACTGGCCAATGAAGTTGTCTTATAATCCGGTAATTAATTTCTGCGGTCTCTGGATTCGCAGAGCAGGGGGGAGAATCTAATGAAAGGCAATGAAAGCGGCCAAGTGACAGGATAACAAATTAATAAACTTTCGGCAGCGGCAACAGCTCGTGAAATTCAACTAGAAAGCACAGCCATTGATCATTGTGGCCAACTGGCTACCACATGGCACACTGGGCGAAAAAATGTTCTTAGAGTCCATTTAATGAAATGATTGCATGAAATAATTATAATACTTATGATAGAGAAATCATTAGGGTTATGCAATGAAAAAAGGATAGTCCTCTTTCGTAATTAAAATATTTTAAAAATATATTTTAATATTTTAAATGTTCTGTAACACTTCCCTTTAACTTTATCCAAAAAATCCCTCTATTTAAGACAAACTAGTTTTGATTTAGCTATTTAAATAAATGGAGTTTAAAGTACAAATATTTAAACAAACTTAAGCCATACGAACATTTGCTTTCTGTGTGTCCACATGACTTGGGATCTGCAAGTTCTGTGCGGCTACGTTTCATTGGACTCGAACTGTGTTTGACAGCCCGGCTGTTGCCAACGTTCCAGCCTCGTAAAATGTGTCCCTGAAAATTTGTCAATATGAAGGGCAGTGGAACTGATGATGAGCCATCGCCAGTTCAAGGCCGAAGTGAAAGGGACAATGGGAACATGTGGTGTGATTGGAGTGGATTCGAATTGCTTGACTGCTTGTTGTTTATTCCTACAAAGTGTCAAACGATGAAAGATAAGCTCTGCCAAATGGTTCCGGGAATTGCTCATTAAAACGGAATTTTTTGCAAGGCATATTTTTAGACCACACACTCAATATGTATAGAGCTGTCTACAATTGGAAAGGGAAAACTCGTGGTTCACTTTTGCGTCAATATTCAAGGATTACATCTAAGGCAAAAAGCCACTGCAAATACTACCATATAACTGCAAAAATGATTTTGTAGCTCGTTGTTGTTCATTTAATCTGACAAATCGTGGCTGCGTTACCAATGGCATTTTGCAGAGGCAACGATAAGTACTTTCCCAAGCTTAGATATGCAAGTTGGCAATCGAGAGATTTAGTGATTCGTGAAATGTATCTGGCTGTCGCCTCCTGGGATAAAAGAAAAACAGGGATTGGGTCACAGAGCACATATATCTGGCCATCTGGTTAAGACAGCCACCTGTACATTTGCCACCGCTCAGCTGCACAAACAAATTAACAAACAACATTGAAAACAGATGCAGGGAGCAACTGCAAACTGCAACTGCAACTGAAACCGAAACTGCAACTGAAACTGAATTGCAATCGGAAGAGGAACCGGATATGGAAGCAGAAACGGAAACGGAAATCGTCGGAGCGGCCAGCGAGAAAAAAGAGCAGCAACCAACAAAAGGCTTGTGCAAAACAGCAGCTGCAAGTGACTGGAGCGGGGACAGGATTCCAGAACTCACGGACTCAAGGACTAAAGACTGAAGGACTTTGGGTCTCAAGGACTTGAGCGGCAACAGGATAAACTAACATTTGTTGCGCTTTTTTCTGAACTTTGCCCATCGCCAGTCGTCGGACTTTGGAAATGTCAATCGCTGGTCCTTAAAGTCCTTGATTCTCCACCTCCTCCTCCAACGCCGCCTTATATTTTTATTTTCCAGCCAACCGTCTACATTGTCACACGCCCACGCTCCACGCAGTCAGCCTAATCGATAGCAATCAATACATTTTGTGTGCGACTCCGAAAACTGTTGCACACACTGTTCTCCGGCCGGAGACATTCGAGCCACGCTGGGGATGAAATTTCACCTGGGAAATTCCATTCCAAGGAGGACCACGAATGGAGCAACGCCAATTAAACGCCAATAAGCCCGGCCAAAGTCTGGGCCAACACAAATTGATTCGCAGCAGGTTGCTTATTATTGTAGACAAAGCCAAACATTTTCCCCATTCATATCTCGACCAGCTGTCTATTGACAACTATCCGCAATCCGGTGGTATTCGTTATCATAAGTGTAAAAACATTTTCTCTGGCAATCTCTAGATGCTCTTTCAATCCTTACCCCGACATTTAGTTTTTCGTTTTTCCTTAGATATGTATAATAACGCAACAATTGTAATTTGTATTTAAAAAATCACAATTTAAATGTCCTATTTTGATTAATTTACTATTAATATTAATATACTAATGAAATATTTACGAATATTTTTGATTTTGAATTAGATTTTGAAATTTTAAGGGTACTCGAAAAAATAAGTTGTGTATGTCATATAAGTGATAAGTGTGATAAGAGTGATAAGCTAAACAAAAATATCGAAATTTTTCATATCGCTATCTTTTATACAATAAATTCAAAAACTAAGTTTTAAATTAATATAAATTCTTATGTAAAATGCCCTTAACAGCCTCTATTGCTTGGAAAAAATTATAATTTAGTCTAGCTTAACTTTTAATGCATACAAAAAGTAAAATAAAACCCATTTTAGACTTATTAAAATTAATACGGATATGTAAAATAAAGTAAGAACACTAAAATATCAATTCCATCTAAAGAGCTGCATTGCAATATGTGCATAATGTTACTCATCTTTCCATTTATGTTCAAATTCTCAGCTGAATGGCTCATCAACGTTTCAGTTTAGAAAATAAATGATTGGGATTCAGTTACAAGCAAATAGGCAGAGCAACTCTACCTGTTTTGGGAAGTGTGTGATAATAAAGCTAAAATCGAGAGCGGGCAAACTGAACAACCAAATTTCAATGGCGATTTATTACCGTTACCAACGTCAACCATATCTTCGTATGTATGTGTGCATGTGCTACACTATGTGTGAGTGTGTGTAAGCGTATGTGTTGGCCGTCACACAAAAATCGATGATGTGGTGACCAAAATAAAAGCCAAAAAAACACAAAGGGCCCAAAACAGTACGTTGCGCACATAAACTTTATTTATGCCGCCCGCTCCGCTTGTATCCTGACCTGTGATTTTGGCCCAAAACAGTTGTTAATAAGACTTTTATTTCACAGCCAGAGCAACGAGATCAGAATGCTGCCGTTGATGTTGCTGCATCGTCTGTTGTGACGTCAGTTGGTAACCGATAGCCGGACAAAGTTGAATAGGACGGGTCCAAACTGAAAACGGGGCCCAGACAAAAGACGTCTGTTCCCGACTGCCGACAATGGCACAACAAAAAACCAAAACCAAAGGAAAGGCAAAGGCAATAGCAAAGGCAGAATATCCATTGAACATGGGCAGGGCCAGCCACTATTTAATACCTTACAAAGTTCTAAGCTGAACTTTATGGTTGACAGCAAAAATAAAATACATTTTCAAGCTTAAGAGCTTAGGTTTTGCACTATCCTGATACTAATTTCCCTTTTATCAATATTTAATAAAACAATGTCATGGGAACGAACTAAACGGAGGCTAAAACATTTTCAGCCAACGTGTTGCTTTTGTACTATTATAATTTCTATCATAAATTAAATTAAATGTAAGAATTCTAACGTTTTAACTTTTCTGTTGCCTTTTACTTTTTTTGCATATTCAGTTTTTTTCCAACCATTATTTTTCACTCCTTCATTATCATATATCTGCATGATTTCGAATACATATTGCTTAAAACATTTATGGCCTTAGGGTGATTTAAATTGCAGAAGTTCAACTATACATTAGCACATGTCTCAAACAAGACAGTTTAATGTTGCAAGTTAGTATTGTTAACGTTTGCTTCAAGATCAACTTTTGGGCAACGTGGCGTATACTTAATATGCTTTGCCCACAACAGTCGTAACTGATATTGAAAAGCAACTGGTAGAAGACGGTTTTTTTTTCAACATAGATTCCGATGCTACTAGACCTTGTTTCTTGTGGTCTGCGCTTTTGTTTTTTTTTTTCCAGAGGCAGCTCTTTGTCGCCTTTGTCGGTGTTCCCAAGTAAAGCCACCCAGTTTGGTCGGCTATGATGCCCTTGTGGTCTTCCGGCATGCGTTCAACGCCGCTTGTGAATCCCGTCACGTTTCTGGGTTTTACTTCGAATACCATTTTGGCCAATTGCTCCTTCCGCCCCTCAGTGGCAAGGTTACCATTTACTCTTAGAACTAGCTCTGTTCCAGGCTATTAGCATATTGACATGTTTCACAAGTAATTCACATCAAAATAAACAAATAGTATTCTACATGGGCGTTTTCTGTGATTTTACTGTTGAAATGCCACCTTCGAAAAAAGTGCTATTTGTTTTTTAGTACATTTATTTATGGATGAATGAAAATATTTAAATGATTCGTCAGTGACCTTTTTTATTCAAATTCAAAACAAATCGTTTCAACTTTGGGCCTTGTTCGTTTTCGTTTTTTAACGAGTTTTTTAAAAGAATTTGTTAAGTAAATTTGAAAGAGTTTGTGGATTCAAGATATTATAATTATTTCTCACTTATTGACTGTGTTTAGAAAATTCAAAAGAAGTCACATGTATTAAGTATGTATGTATTAAATAAAAAGAAAATATTCATGGCATATTTTTATGAAATTTCTAAAAGAAATTTATTATTATTCACGGATAGTTAGTCAGTTAATTTGTTATAACAATCAAAAGCTAATCAAGTTTCGTTTATTTAAAGATGAAGTTGCAAATTCTTGGCAAAAACAAAAGTATTAAAATGGCTTAAATGGTGAGCTATTATGTGTCCCTAAACGACGTAGGTATAAACCTCCCCAATTACTCCCAGTGCATTTCCAAATCCCTGCTGTGAGAAACACGGTGTCAAAGGTCAGCGTTGGTTTCGTTTGTGTGGCACTGTTGCCGCCCAGTGCCACTCGGAACGCCCCACATTCGCTTTCGCATTCGCATCCACGTCCACGACCACGTCCATGACCATGTCCTTGTGCGTTTAATTGTGGCAGTGTGTCTCCCATTGTCGGCGGTGTTCCACACTCAGGAGTGTAGTGGGTGAGTGGTTAGGGGCACGTGGTGGGGTCAAATTCTGGCTTTCGGATTGGCCCTGCAGTGAATGCCAATGCCGAAACCCGCTGGGAGCTGAGTACTGAGAGCTGAGTACTGGGAGCTAAGAGCTGAGAGCTGAGATCTGGCATCCAGCGGATTTTTCGAGACCGTAAATCACTGGTCCAGAGCTGGCAGCAGCTGCCATAATCGCAGTCACGGCCAGATTCCCGGCGAGAGACTCACCATTGATTAGAAATCACATTCGCATTCGCTCTTCTTAGCTGCCTGTTTGGTCAATTGAATCGGATTCAATTGTGTGTACAGTTGATTGCCAACAGACGTCGATTTCCCTACTTTTGTACTCGCCTGTTTCGCATTGAGCCACGGCTTAAGAGTGTATTGCAATACCTGCTCGATTTTGATTTTGCCAATGCCAATGCCAGCACATTCCATTTCGGTGCTTAACCACCCGACCGACCGACCGAGAAAAAATCTCTTCCCGTGATAACTTAATAATTCGCAGGCGCCCAAAAAAAAAAGGGGAGAGATTCAAGGATACAGATACAGATTGAGATACAGATACAGATGCATAAAGTTGTGCCATCGAAAAAGGGTTTTGGGGTGGCGAAACGGCAACGGAAGTCGATTGCCTTTCACGACTTGATACAAATATTTTATCAGTGATCCATGGGATCCAGTTCGGATATATACTGCTAGCAGGGGATGGAATGCCTAGCCCTCAGTATTTTCAATTCATCCCAAATCGGACAAGTGAAAATGTGTGCTTATTAACTTGACAAACTTTTAATTTGGAGATTTTCAAAAATAAACTGGACTGATTAAACTCTCGTCCGCATTCGCTTAGTAGAATAAATATATTAAAAATTGCCTTATAAATTCTTTAAGAATTATATTTCTTTGTTTTATTTTAGTTATATTTCTAAATAAATTATTAATTATTTATCCCTTCTCGTTTTTGTCAATGCTATCTACTGGCAACAAGTTAAGGTAACAGGAGGCAGGATTCATCAAAATATGCAAAACAGCTAATAACTAGTAATTTCCATTAACAATTTGGCAGGGCTGAATGGTGATGGCAGTGCGAGTGGGAAACATGGACTCCCAGTTGGCTCATCTGGCAGCCAAATCACGTGCCATGTTGGATAGCCATGGGCTCATTGCCAATTCCAAGTACATCCCAACTCCTATTCCGATCCCCGATCCCAATCGCAATCGCAATCCCATCCAGTGCCCAATCCAGTTCAATCCGGGCTTGCTTAAAGACAGCAATAAATCGTGGGATTTGGCCTCAAAAAATCCTCGGAGAGGAGGAAAGAATGTCTGCCGAAGAGTTGCTAATTATGCTGTCGAATCTCGTGGGGCAACAGGATGTGCCATGACACTGCTGCCCTGTTCACTTTCCTCGCATTCCTGTTCGCTGTCCTGGTGTGGTGAACTCCACAATGCAGTGACTCTTGGCTGGAATGTCCCCTTAATCTTTGTTAGTCCACCGCCCACCTCTGCCCGAAAAGACAACGCTTCATCGGTTTGATATACCTCCAATTAGGTATTTAATTAAAAAAAGAAAGATATCAAACAAAAACGCGCAACAAAGTGTCAATTGCAGTGCTGAATGCTCGGAATGGAACAATGATTGAGTGCGACACGATGACGGGAAAGGGGACGAGGAGGAGGACGAGGATGAGGATGCGGAAGTGGCCCCCAAGGGACAGTCCGGAAATAACAGGAGGAAGAGGACGAAGGAGCCAGCTGGAGGGAACTCAGTCGGAAGGGAAAACAGAATGCCTGGAGTACAGGGGCTGACACGGGGGAAAACTCGGGGGAAAACACGGCAAAAGGAGTGAAAACTTTCTGGAGTGGGACTCTTGCCAAAGTTTAAGTTCAAATAGGATTTTCCTTACTAATTGACCCGAATAACACAAAACAACACACAGACGATAGAACTTGATTATGTCAGTTGCCAACTTAACTTTTGTATGATTAAGACTAAATTCTAAATAAGGTATAAAACAAATGCTATACAAACATTTACAAAAAGAATTCCTGTTTGATAATTATTTGAAAAAAAAAAATCTGGTATAATCGTAAAAGGCTTTTAGGGAAAGAAAACAGATTGGTTCCAAAAAGTACTTAGAAATATAATCCAATGAAGTCTGGTTGTAAGAACATGTTAAAGTACACATCATTATACCTTGCATTTGCGTTGAAATAAACTTATCTTCAAGTTGTAGTACAATTATGCTATTTTTTATTAGCATATTTACCCAAATTTGAAAGATAAAAATATATAAAATAAATAAAAATAACTAAGAACCTACCAAGCATTATCTTGAGATAAATACAAATCTATAACTAGGTAAGTGAAAGGGTAGCAACATATTTTTCTCCCAATTATACCAATATACCTAGGTACAAGTATCTAGGCACACCTCAACACTGGATATACTATGCAGTAAAAAGCTAGTAAAACCTTGTTATAAATATTTATCATCGATTTTTCAGTTTGGTTTTTCTGTTAATTGTTTCAAGGACTCATCCAATGACGCTGATACAATTTAAAGAAAGGATTCAAAATAAAAATGACGCGCAACTGGAATTGTTTTTAAAAATAAAAAACAAACAGAGTGTTGCCGAATCAATTCAAGGTTGAAGCATTTGATTTGGCCATGGGATATGCATTGGAAATAAATTTATGTTGATCCGGCAGTAAATTACTTTGCGATAGGGCAGATAAGAGATGGTAAGCAACTGCACAATCAGTGGGTAATAATGGCAATAGAGATAAGATCCCTTCATTTTTCATCCCTAAACCAAAAAACGCATACACATCAAAAGCTCTCAGACGAATTAACTAATTGCTGACTGTACTTACTATAATTTATAATTGAAAAAAGGTATTTATTAAGTATATGCCGACAGCCGAAATAAAAAGGACAAAAAAGGATTCAGGACACCTGTGGAACCAAGGATTTCGTTCCCATCCCTGGCCAAGTATTCCATAAAGATTTGGTTCACTTTGTGCTTTAAGGTCCAAATTGGGAGTGGCTGCTTTCTATTTATAAAACTTCCCTAATTGGAATCCCCCACCAGTCGCAAAATGTGTTAACACAGTGTACGTAGTATTCAACGAAGGTTTTTGGCCCAGGTAAATGGGTTCGGGTATGGCTATGGCTATGGGATTGGGATTGAAATAGGGATAATGCTTGGGATTGAAGGAGAGGGTGCACTTAATGAAAATGACATCAGATCGAAAAGAGTGGTGTAATTTTGTCGAGCATTTGCTATTTAAAATATAGATTTTTATTCCTTATATCTTAAAGAGTAATATGTGGGGGGTAATATATATATATATATATTTATACTGTATTTAATGCGATAAGTTCTATATGATAGGCTTTGCTTTAAAAGTAACAATGCAAAGTTTATTTAAAGGTGTTTAATTTACAGTAGAGTACCCATAACTTTACATATTTCTATAGATTTGCTTGCTGTGTTTGATGGGGGATGGAACGCTTGAAAATGTTAGTATTACGCAATGACGATGCAGATGAAAATACTGATATAATATGCATAAAATGTGGATTATATAATTAATTATATACGCATGCTACGGATATTGTAATTGGGTTGATTTAATTTCGGCCCGACTGCCTGACATCGCATGCCCAATTAGCTAATGGATATTGACAAGGTCGCACGGTAGGTGCGTGGCTACAGATGTTTTTCCCCGCAATCCGCTCGACTCACCTGTCGCCGTGCGAATCCCTATCTCTGTCGCGCTCCAGCTCCGGATTTGGATTCGGATTTGGATGGGCCGGAGCAGGTGCTTCGGATCCGGTGGCCGATCCCGATGCCTCCGATTCTCCCATTGCCTCTACCACCTGCACTTCCATTTTCACTTCCGTTTCCGGTTGCAGTTCCGGTTGCGGTTCCGGTTGCGGTTCCGGTTGCGGTTCCGGTGCAGATCCGCAGCTGCCATTGCTGCTGGCAGTCACCTGCTGCTCCTGATCCTTCTCCTTCTCCTGATCCTTTTGCTTGTCCGACATCCTTTCACTTCTCACGCTGCTGATGCTCCTGATCCTCCTGATGCTCCAGATACTCCTGATCCTCCTGATGCTGTTTTTGGATTCCAAGTCGCGATGAAACGGTACAGAGCAGATGCCCAAGTGTTGTAATTGTTTTTTAATCAAATCTGCTGGCAGGTACCCAATGCAAAGCAAAGCAAAGCAAAACAAAACAAAAGAAAGGAAAACGAAAGAACGAAAACAATGCCATGCGAACAAAGGGAAATTAATGTAAATTAATTGCCATGGCTGGTGGAAAGCCTCTTGCGCCCAACTCCCGGTTTTTCTTATTTCTATCCTTATTTCCTCGCCTTCTTGTGCCTTTTGTTGCACCGACGGTCGGACTAAATTAGCCGCAATATTAAAAAAACAAAACAGAAAAAACCAGAAAATAACTTATCCTTCCGGTGGACGGAGGTAAGAAGAGCATAACAACGTTTTAAAGCTTCGGGTATGCAAGATATTTAAGATATTTAACCCAGTCAGGTTGGCTTTCGAGAACCCTTTTAAGAAGTCTGTCTTGATGGAATTGCTTGCTTACAAAGCATGCTTTTAATCTAACAAATTTGAGTCGATTCCACAGTTTGCTTATTTTTGAAAAGGAATTTACTTCGATGGCCAGATCCTCAAATATACCTGCAACTGTTTATTAATAATTTCATTTTTCGTAAATTGCCGAAACTTTATTGATTTTATCTATTGGTGTCTATTTAAGTTTTATTTCATTTAATTTAAGAGCCAACAAGAGCAAATAACCATATTTAATTGCGAACATAGACGCTTTTATTGGTCAGAAATGCTTTTTGTGTCCGGTTAACTATTAAACCAGTACGGTCAAGCAGGGAAAGGACTAAGGCCCTCAGTTGATGATTGACAAGTGGCTTAATGCGTCAACATGACAATCAGCAACCGACAATTGATCACCCAGAGCAGATTAACGCCCACCCACAATGCAGGTCACTTTTAAATAAGTAAGTACGCCAGAGTCCCACTCCGGACTTTTGAGTACTTGGCACCTGGCTTAAAACATTTCCATCGCTTTCATTCCGATTTGGTTTCTTTTCATAGGAAGGGTTTGAAGTTGTTCTACCAATCTATCCAGATAAAAAAGTGAACTAAAGTGAAGAGTGCTTGTAAGCTGACATTAACTTAAAACAATCAAAATAATATTATGAAAGTACTATTTCAGCAATGCTATTTATACTAGGGTTCTGGGTACATGTAAAAGTGAATATACATCAGGAACTAAACAATTTAAAAACATGATAATGTAATGATTGACATATTTAATTGCTTTATCCAATAATTAAATTGAAGGTTAAAAATTTTTTTTATTTAAAACTAACTTTTTTCATATTCACAAATAAAAAGGGAATGCGTAACACACATTGACTTAAACACAACACCCCTCGGGGCTAAATCAGTATCGAAAATATTTAATTCCAAGTGAAAATATTTGGGTTAACCATGATTTTTATCTGGGTATAGCAAGTGCAGCAATACGTACACATTAAATGAAACACCTGGAGCGGACAGAGCCGCAAATCTCGAATCATTCACACACGATTAGCAATCGCATGGGCTGGCGGGGAATGGCGATTAGATTAGGGCGGAAAGCGGTTAGTCATGGTCGCAAATGAACAGCTCGCCGGCGTAATTGGCCAGGACAAACAAAGCAGAGCTATCAGAGCGACGGGAGCCGATAAGTAGGCAGCACTTAGTGGACACTAAAATGTGGCCCTGCCCCCGACAACACTTTGCTCTGCCCACTGATCGCAATGCCACCGAATCTGACTCTGACTCTGAATTCGAATTCGAATCCCTTCATCTGGAATTAAGAGCCGCAGGACAACGGGACAACTGCTGCCTCGGGCATCATCCGTTTACGGACACATTCATGTGGCTTCTGCGGGATTCCTTAAAACATAAATGAGAATTTTCACAGCATTTGCATATGAATGATTCACACGGCCATGCATAACAAAAGGCCACGGTCGGATGGCTGAGTGGGCGAACGGAGCGGACGGAGCGGACGGAGCGAACAAATAAATAAGTATAAAATGATGGGCGGCGAACGCCTCCCATGGCGAAGCTGTGAACTGGAAGCGGACTGGAGCTTCTGTTTTAGGAGCATATACACATATACATAGGTGACCCCCCTTGGGCCCGGCCAAACACGTCCTCATCAAATATGAAAAGGCAGGGAAAATTACCCCCAAAAGAAAAAAAAATGGAGGAAAACCGGAAAGGAAGGCGAACTGAAATGAAATAAAAACCATTTTCTGTTTTCTGCATAGGTCTGCATAAACTGGGTTCAGCTCGAAAGGGCCGAGGCAAGCAGAAAAAGCGGTGCCTTATAATAGCTGGCTGGACAGGGTGCCCACAGACACCTGACCTCCGACTTTCCCGCTCGGCATGGTTACTTTGTTGTTGCTTATTTGGTTTTCTTTTCGTTTCGTTTCGTTTTGTTTTGTTTTTTGTTTAAAAAGAAAGCCTCTCATACAAACTTTTCATAACACGCACGCACTTTCAAAAATACAAAAAAAAAAAACAACAACAAACAACAAAAAAAAAACAGGCACAAAATGGAGGGGAGAACCGGAATTCAAACCTTGAATCTGGTGGATTTTCTTTCAGCACGAAACTGTCGCTCGGGGAATTTGGAAAAAAAAAACTTTGCTTTAAATTTCGAATTTCGAATTTGAACTTGAATTGGAATTTGAGTTGATTTGGAGTGTTCGATGATTGGTTGGCGATGATGCCTCAGATTTGAGATCTTATTCTGACTGTGATGCGAATACTGATACTGCTCCACTTTTCCTCGACACTTTTTTCTGGTGCTCGGTTCACGGCAAACGTAACCGACTATGGCTGAACAGGAACTGAGTCGTCTTGTCAGAGGACACGTTATTTTAAATCGGCCAGCGCACTGTTGCTTCTCTGTTAACTTGGCCGTTTACCGTTTTGGCCAGCTGTTGCCAACAGGCGGACCTGTTACTGGCCCTCCGAAAGCTTTTCCGAAAAGCTCTCGTCGGTGTATAATTCTCACAGTTCTTACAGTTCTTACAGTTCTCAGAGCAGCCATGATTTCGGATTGTTTTCTTCAAATATTTCGGATACTAAGTACAACATTAACAACGCTGAACTTAACATAACTTATTTCTTAACGCTTATAAATATTTCTCTATTATTATTTAAGAAGTTATCGGGTTATGAAGTCCTCTGTCGCCGCTCTGCCGCCGCTCTGCCGCCACTCTGCCGCTGCTCGGTCGCTGCTCTGCCGGTAATCGTCGCAATACAGAACGAAAGAACTGTTTGGGGGGGGTGGGGGTGCTGCACGCTCTTAGCTTCTAGTGTTGGCTATGCAGTTCGACAGATGACGCTACTGGTTAACAAATTGAAATCGATGAAATCCTCCTGAGATCAAACTTTTATTTTCCGGTGCAGATCGACTCTCTGTATGGTACCACTTTTTTAAGAGTGTAAAAACATTATGTCACCTGTTTTTAATTTTATTAGCATTAATAATGTTTAGAAATGTTCAATATCATATTGCATTAATAGCAGTGAGTACGTCAATAAGAAGCTTACGCCAGCAAAAACTGATCTGCGGTCAAATTTAAATAGGCCAAGTGAAGCCAGGTGCAGTGGATTTCTGGCCAGGTTCAGAGTGAAGGTCTCGAACTGCAAAGAAATTTTACAACTTAAAAGGTCTTATTGTCTATAAAGATTATTGGCCACTCACTACAGTCTCCAATCTGTTATCCAATCCTGGCTGAAAGAGAGTCCTTTGACTCAGTAGTGCGAACATGTTATCGTGGGCGTCGAGTAGGTTAAATACATTTTTCACGTTGAGCCAGCAATTGATTTCGTATAGGACTAAGCAAGCAATGCATATAACTATAATGATCATTGAACCATTTTCCATAATGTCAATGTATTTTTTCAAGCTGAACAGCGTGTAGAAAAGTACCACTCCGTTCACAGTGTACGTAAATATAATGCATACGACCTGACCTTGGTATGCTTTCGAAAAGACATCGATGAGCTCTTGTAATTCAGATTGCTTGCGGGCGATTTGCTCCAAACGATCGGCCAGGCAGCGGCATCTTGTCTCGAAAACTTCGCCTCTACGTAGAGGGATTAACGATTGTGCTTCGACCACAATCGCCTTCAGATCCTTATTCAACAGGATGTAGTGCCCTCGGAAAATCGCCATGGCAATGAAATACTGTGTTGCGATCACCTTTACAATCGCCATCTGACAGAATAGGAGCCAGATTAAAAGGGTGCAAGAAATAGTTGGGTGATTTTGCACCAAAAGGGTAATGATTATGCCACTTAGGCCATCCGTCAGTATGTCACACAAGCACTTGCCAACGATACTTCTGCGGCAGAGCTTGATTATGTCCGGGTTGCTCCGCCAAAGTCGCCGTAACGATTTGAAGAGCCGCAGAAAGGTACGGCCTTGGGACCATCGACTGGCCAAAGCCAGGAAAACACAAATCATCCGAGATCGTGATGTCAACAGGAAGACGTTGGCTTGAAGAGAATTTGGAGAATTCCATATGCTGGTCAAGACAAACGCATAAATCAGTTTGTAAATCAGTGTGATGAAAATGAACAAGTGCAGGCCGGCTGCATAAATTGTAGTTCGTTTGGTGACCAGCGTTCGACCCGTTTCAATTTCGACCTCGAAATTCACTACGCCGGTAAGACGTCCAGAAATATAGGACATGATTAGACACCACCTTACAAGGTTAACCATTGCGGCTTACTGAAAGGCAGTTCATGGCCAGGTGTATACCGAAAGCCAGTTTCGATGTTTCAAATGCTTTGATATATGAGAACAATTAGTTATGATGTATCAGTTAATCTCGATTCGATTCATTGACTAAATTAAATCGATTGGGACACGAAAATTGGCGTACTGAGTTTTATACCATTGCAAAAGACATTTCGAGGCGAAAACTTATCATAAAGAGTATATATAGTAAAGAGTACAGAATCACATCTTAAAAAGTTTGAATGTTTGAGTATCCTTCAGATGGATTCCGTCTGCGGTGTCCAACGCTGCGTATGCTCGATAACTCAATGCTGAGCACGCCCCCTTAAACTCCGGCCAGGGAATAAATATGTTTTTGGCAACTTGCAGCCTGGCAATAAATCATCATCATTGACAATGGGCCGCTACATCATCTCCGCCAGCAGCTTGCCCAAAAAACGTTAAAAGTGAAAACATTAAGCATATAAACTTTGATGGTTCTATTACTCTTTTCTCCAGCGTGCGTCTTTAGCGGACTCGTGAGTCCCACCTTGGAGTAACCCGCCTCCCGGAGTTACACATCCGTGGACATGGTCGCGTCCGGTTTGATGGCCCTGGGATAGCGCAGCTTGCCCCGACATTATGGCCGCAGTCGTTAAGCTCCGGCGCTACTTTGTGACCGTTTTATGAAGACAGCTTGAAGTCACAGGACATGAACAACAACATCAACCTGGAGAGTCAGGGCATCCAGTTCAATCCAGTTACCTTGGGCACGCAGCATACTCGTGTCAATGACCGACATCAACTCTAAATTGGCCTAAATATGAGTAAAATCCAAATTTATTAGATAAATTAAAAAGGTCACTTTGAAAATTCCAAGAACATTTCTTCGCCCTCAATAAGTCCTGAGCAAAACACTGGATAGGATTTAAAAAAACAAAAAAGAGTTTATACCAAAACAGGGCGGGGATTTTAGTGTAATTTGTAAACTTTTGAGAAATGAACAATCCGATTCTTCATAAGTCCACATCAATATACATCAATATCAATTGGATTTAAAAACAACAGAAAAGTTGTGAAACGTGAAAAGTTTATAAATAACAGGAAAAAAAGAGCACACGTCGGCCGAAGCTATAATACTCTAGCTTTAACAGAAAATAATAGCTATTGATTGCAATGTTGAACGTTAAAAAACAATAAGTTAATGTAATTAATCAACTAATTAACATAAGCATTACAATTTTAATTCGACTAGTTTTGTAATGCCAATAAGTTATAGTATCCTCTGCAAGTGTATACCAATTAACATCATGTAGCAGACACCAAATTATCCCCGTTTTTTTTGCCAAAGGCTTGGGTCCTGACGAAAGTCGTGACACTTTGCATTGTTGAATATCAGTTTCTATTAGTGAAACATATGCTATTTAATAATCCGTATCCAAGTTAATCAATGCTGCCAATTGGATTGAAGCTACCAATTAAAGCAATGACAACTTTCATCAATATATTGTTTGGTACATTGCTCATGTTATTTTTGGAGGATATCTATCGGTTCGAATTTTTATTTTTACCTACCAGGCCTTTTCAGATCGCACAGCTAAAACCGTTTAAAACGCACAAAGGAAAATATAACTGGCATTTCGTGATTGGGTCAACACGGGTGGCCTCCATTGCATTCAAAGTCAAAAGCAGCAGGACAATGGAACTTTAAAACTAGAGGAAAAGCAGGGCATTTGTGTTCGTACCTGTGATGAGAGGTGGAAGGAATATGGTTGTTCACAGCTAATTAATTCACCGGCAGCTCAAAAAACATCTGCCAGCAAAAACCCCCTTTTGTTTGCGCCCACGAGCCACAAGTTGTGAAAACAGTTTATTTTCTTACCTTTTTTTTTTGTCTTTTCATGCACTTTACACATTTTATTTATGCTCAATCAAGGCGGCTGCACAACACACACATATAATATTTCAAATAATATTTTATTTGTTTTGGGTATGAGTGCTTGGTTGGCTTTGTTTTGATGTTGGCCAGTATAAAAACTTTACAGCACATTTCGTTGCTATGCAACGCAATAAATCATGACCAGGTCCAGGGACATTTCAATTGCGTTTATTTAGCTTATTTTGCTCTGCCAATCTCCCCAGCTGTTGTTGCTACCAAATCAGGACCTCAGTGGGAGAGATGAAAGGGTGCCAGGGATGACAAACAAATTCAATTTTGGCAATGTAAATCAAGAGCTGTTTAGGGGGCAATCTCAGGTAGGGGTCATGAAATTAAAAGCACGAGGCCCCAGAGAAATTCAATGGAAAACAAGAAAGTCTTTGGCATTCATGATGCTGATTTATCTAGGGAAAATATATATGGGATTTCGAATGTGACATCAATACCTAACATAAAATTATTCACTTCTTTTTCAGTTATGCATGTATTAAAGCACAAATTGTACAATTAAATAGCATCTTAAAGCTGGAAATACTAACCAAGCCATTAAACTCGCCCATAATTTGCAGCATGATGAGCCGTAAATGCTGTGTGCCCCATGGCGTATACGTAATTAAGTGCGTATGAAATGGTGTTTCAAAGAGTGGGAAACAGCTGGCAATTAAGGTGCATCGGGCGTGAAACGCGATGCACGGTGTATGATGCTGGCTGAAGTTGAAGTTGTAGTTAAAGTTGTAGTTGTAGTTTCCATTAACTCAGCCCAGTGTTGCGTGTACTTAAGAACTTTGCATGCAGCAGGATTCCTCATCCTCCATTCAGATTTGGCCATCATCCATCACAGTTCGAACAGGAAATCGTTACGGCTAAGGAATACGGGTGCTGGGATGGCTAAAATCGCAAAAAGATTGGACTTGTTTGGCTCTTATATTACTGTGCACTGATATCGCTTGCAATCTGCTTTCCAACTTTCCCCGGTCTCCAATTCCCACCTGGCCTTTATTAGGAACCAGCTAAAAGTAGCTCAACTTGCACCGCAAAATGCGGTGGGTTGCAATGGGTGGCGGTGGCTGGTATGACGTCTGAGGTTCACCTTTATTCTAACTAATTCCCCTCTTGCTGTCTATTTTTACTGGAGTTGCCTAGATTGCTTGGATCGTTATAAATATACAACAAAACTAAATTAAAACAACCGAAGATAAACAGATGCATTTACATTAACAAATATTATTTATTGAATTTTAGAAGGTAAGGTTTAACTGTTTCACAAAATACTACTAGCATTGAGGAACTCACTGAGGTAAGGAGTTTATAAAATATGTCGTTAGGATGTTTATAAATGTTGAGCCACTATTTTTTTTTTTTCGTCAATCAAATATTTGTGAAGTGCTTAAATGTTGTCCTTGAAGTTCGACCGTACATTTTGTTCTTGATAATATCAATCCCATTTACTGAGCTCTTCTCAAACTGCTTTGTCACCAGACACATCTGCCTAAAATACTGCCTCCTTTGGATCCTTTTTCCCTTTCAGGCATTAAAGGAGCGCAACATCATGATGTACGACACGGCGGAGCGGACAATCTGCAATGAAAGTGACACAAAACAGACGTACACAGAAAACAATTGTGTTTTACTTTGGTCGATCAAATCGAAATGAACTCTTATTTTGTAAATCAAGTAAGAAGTAAAATTTATAGTATATAGGTATGTGTGCATATGTTTGTGTATTAATCTGTTGTATATAAACACTGAAATGAAAAGATCATTTGGAACTTAAGGTTTAAAATATGATTGCACATAAAATCCGAAAGGTAAATAGAAAAAAAAAATGCCAGTAAAGTTGATATAAAAAAATGCTCTATTCGAAGATATCAAAGTGATACGTCAAGTATTAAGAGCAAAATGATAAACAGTTTCATCGAAGCAAGTATAATTTTTTCATGAGTTTTTTTTCTGTGTACTCATATATATTTGAAATGTGTCTCAATTGTGCTGACTGCCCTTTTTGGGGCAGGTGACAATCTAGCTGGCATTCCAGTTGGCATTCCAACTGCCACTGCCACTCACCGCCGAGAAGGTGGCCATGCTGGCCTCAAAGAAGTAGCCCTTCATCTGGCAAGGTCGTTGGGCGCGCATGGCGGCGATGAGGAGCGCCCGCTTGGTGGGCGGCGCGAAGGCCGTCCAGTTGCTCTCGTAGAGCCCCATGCCAAAGTCCAGGCTGGCACTGTTGATGTTCTCGCCGCACTTGGAGTAGATGAACAGAGCGATGAGCAGCGAGCCTACGAAGGCGATGAAGTAGAGACTCTGCGGATTGGGGAACAAGTCGGCCACCTGAAATCCAATGAAACAGATCTGCAGGGCGGACAGGAAGAACTGCAGAAAGATCAGAGGGCGGTACTTATCCGCAATGTTGTCGGCGATCTGGAGGCCCGTCTGGTGCAGCACCAGCACCTGGATGAGGCCCTCCAGCTCCTCCTTTCCGCCCAACGCCGGCAGATGGATCATCCGGTGCTTGGCGATTTTGAAAATGGCGCACACGTTGTACGTGAAAAAGAAGAGCAGTGTGTCCACGCAGAGCGCCATGGTTACCTGGTCGAAAAACCGAAAGGTATACGTATATGCATTCAAATCGAACAGCCCACAATACCTACATATGCTAACATAACAAATCAGTGCCAAAATAATTGAATTTTCTTTTTTCTTTTTCTCTTACCGAAATTATCCTAATGTATCTAAGGTATATAAAAATGTAGTAAATATGATTCGATGTGATTTTTTTTACCATCACGTTTTTAAATAGAAAATAATAATGGAAATATTACGTTACTTTAATATGAAATTTCATTTTTTAGGAATAAATTTTGGTATAGGTAATATGGGGTTTTAACAAGTCGAATTTTAAATCCAATGTTTTCTACATTAATTAAATCAGTTTTTTACTATTCGATGAAACAAGAACCCCTTTAAACGAGGTAAAAATGTCGTGACAATACAATACATACAACATTAAAAATTTAAATTAGAAATTTATTTTATCGCTTTATCTGAAGATGAATTAACGTAGCCAACAAGCTATTTAACTCAACAATCCGCCATGAGAGCATTGTTTTGGTCATGTTCATATATGTTTTTATTCCTAAAACTAATGCAATTTTTGCTAAAGCTAATGAAATTATTTTTTTGAATTTAGATCTACAAATGTATTACAACTTAAGCCTTATAGAAGTTAAATACAAGACACTTACAGCACTATAGCTGGCCATCACGTTCCACAGATAGGTGGGCACGTACCACACGACCACCTGGAGGTCATACGGATACACCCCGTTGTGGGGCAGCTCCAGGTGAATGTCGTCGCCGCGAATTAGGGATAACACGATGCCCACGAAGGGCTTCATGGCCGCAAAGATCCCCGCCAGACCAAAGCAGCGGGTGTACGTCAGGCTGAGCATCTGGTCGCTCTGGTTCTCCGCCTCCACGATCTGCCTCGCATCCGGCCACACACTGATTTCTGTTGGATGAGCACACTTTTTATAATTAAAGAAATACCTCAAATAAACCCATACTTCTCTTATGATTAATGTTTATTTTAAGTCGAAAAGACATTCACATAGATTCGATACTATGTAAAACGTCTATACTCTATTTCAATTTTTATGTTTATATGTTTAAAATTTTTTTGATCGTTCCCTGCAATCATAATTTTAAAGTAGTAAACTATAATTACATATATCTCGAAGGTTATTCGTATAAATTTTTCTGATTATTCCCTTGGGAGCTATATAATATAGTCCTACGATATGGCTTGTTCCAACTTATATACATAATATGTATAATTATATACTGCCTGATGTAGAAAGAACAGTTTTGGAAAAGTTTCAGTCAGATAGTTTTAAAACTGATAGATTTGCGTAGAAACGGACGCACGGACAGACGGACGGATGGACGGACAGACAGATGAACAGACAGACGAACACTTTACATATGCTCTGCAGCCGTTGAAAGCCTAAGAACCTCACTTCTGCCATACTTTTATATCTGGAGGACTTTCTCCATTTAGTTTTGTAGGCCAGTGTAAATTAATAGTCTTTGAAACACGAATGTCAGTCCATCCCAACTAATCCCAACCCACACTCACCCTTGTCAAGAATGCCCCTGATGCGGTGGATCAGCCCGACGAACTCCTTGCGGTGGTAGCAGAACAGCAGGAACTTGACCAGGGTGAGCAGGCTGGCGAAGGTGGAGCCGAGCGTGTCGGAGAGCAGGCTCACCTGGGTGATGTACTCGTGGGCGGCGAGGAGCATGGGAACCATGAACATGAACAGGGGGCCCATGGTGACGAAGGTGAGCAGCGGGCGATCGTTGGCCCTCGTGGGACTCCACAGGTCGATGCCCATGCAGCGGTACACGAGGATTTGGACGCGCAAGGATTGACCCTGGCCCTGGTCCTTCTGGTCCTCCCGATCCTTATTTGGATTCCTATCTCGATTTCTTCCCTGCACGTGGTTGCTCATCTTGAACAGCCGGATTGTACAGCCGCGTCCTAAATGTCGCTTGGCTTTTATAGGCGCTGGGGCAGGGGCGTGGCCGTTGCTGTCATGTCAAAGATACAGTCAAGCTTCGCCAGAAAACATGTTACCACCAGTTCACGGACTTAAATTTATCAAACAAAATTTAAATTTATCTAACGATTAAAAAAAAAACGTGACAATCGCATATTCGACGCACAAAATTTCTGATGTTAAATTTTGTGACGAACAATTACTAAGCATTCAACTTTAAAATTATAGAATTATGCAATGAAAAACATAAAAAGTCTTATTTTGTTATAAATCCAACGTACTTCAAAGCTAAAAATATATTTTATTTTGAATATAATATACTTTTAGACACCTCTATAAGTGATTTTAAAGACCTACTAAATTCCATAGCAGCTTATTAATTATACACCAAAAAAAAATCCAAATTTACCTCATTTGATATTTTCCTAAATTTCAATTAAAAAAAAAATTAAAACAAAATTATAAATATTAGTTTAAGTATGTTGGACTGTTGTTATTTTTTTTTTGTTTTTTTGAAAGGATTTGGAACTGCTTTAATTTAATATTCTTCTTTTGTACTCCGTTTTGTGGGTTAAATGGGTGTGGACTTGGGTGGAATTCGAGGGCATTTATGGCACTAATTACACGATTTTTTTCGCCCTTCGCTGCATTCTATTTAATGACGACCCCTTCTTTTGCTCTTCTTGACAATGCAATGGCAGCCTTTAGTTCCCAGGAAGTGCATTATAATTTTAATGAGTCTGCGTTCATTTGAGCCACATGACCCAGCTACAAGTTGTGGGGCGCTTATTTTAAGCCCCTTAATTAGATGCGAATTTACAAAGGTGCCTTTGACATTTGGTAAGTAATCTGCAATTTGCAATTAGAAGAATTTCAAGGTGAATGTGATAACGCTGGCTAGTTCAAATTGCTGGTGCTTTTCGTTATTAATTGGCTACATTGGAATTGATATTGCACGAAAGCCAACAGAAAGTTCAAAAGAATTTAAAAAAAAATTAGAGACAAACATTTTTTTGTCATTTATTTTCATATTTTTATTCGGCACGCTGCTTTAAAAATATGCCTTTGCAGATAAAAGGCTTTGTGTATTTATAAAGTTGAATGCTTAATAATTTTTCTTCACAAAATTCAATATTAGAAATTTTGTGCTTCGAAGGTGCGATCGTCAAGTTTTTTTTACCTCGTAAAGCGGTATTTTCGATTGATAGAACATTAAACTTAAAAACATTGAGAACATTTTTTACTCAAAAGTTACGTTTTAATTTTGAGCACGTTTCTCAGCTGAGAACATCAAATTTCTCTCTGTGTGGATGAATGCGTGGAGCGTTTGCAGGCTTAATTGGATGCCCAATTGGACACAGACTTCTTCACTGGTGGCCAATCCACAATTTTTTGCAGAGCAATCAGTCGAAGATAGAGATAAACCTGCTGAACATCTTCATGTCCCAGGTGGGCGCCTTTTTGGAGCTCATCATGTCCAGCTACCATGGAGCTGCGGTGCAAAAGCGTTCCTTCAATGTGATCGTGGCCATGTGTAAGCAGATCTATGGACAGGATTCCATTCCAATATATTTATATTGTGCATTACTTCAACTTATAATCTATCCATAAATCAATCTGCATATGGCTCATATTTGATGGTTAAATTAAAGAAGTGAAGTAATACCGATTAAATCATGGAATACAACGAGTTAGATCGACGTGTGGCATCTTTATATATATATATATATATTATATATACATATAAGATGTTCGCACACGAATACACTAATAGACATAGTCGTTTATTTGATGCTAAACTAAACAATTGCTACAATTGTGACTATCTAGTCAGTGGTGGGCTTTCGGAAAAGTTTCAGGGTAAGATTGGCAAAGAATTCAGGAAAATCATTGTTGGGCAGATATTGATTATTGGGCGGACAAACGGCTTGCGAGTAGGGCGAGTCCAGCACAGACAATCGGCGCGATCCGTAGAGGGTGATGTCCAGATGCTCATCCAATCGCTCGGCAAATCGGCTGGAAATGCTGCAAACAAGAACAAGGAAATGTTGAGTTGATGGCGGATAGTGTGGATAGATTGTGGACTAAGTGACCCACCGATAGCTGCTTCTGCCGCCAATGCAATCAATTTTGTAGCCCAAAATCCAACAGCACACATTGCGGTATGCATTGTGGGCCGCCTGCATGTCATCCTTCTCAGTGTTTAACTTCTTCAGATCGTCCATCAACTTCTCGTTGCGCAGCTCCAGATCCTCTTTGCGCCGGCGCAGCTGATCGTTCTCCAATCGCAGTGAGTCCATTTGCTTTCGGTAGCAATCGTAGCCAGCGCTGCTGGGTGGCGTCTGCGGCACTGCCTGCTTTCGCAGTTCCGCAATCTGACTATCCCGCAGATCCAACATCTCCTTGTAGCCGTCGACGGTGCGTTCGAGATTATGCACACGGATCTGCACCTTGATGTCCTTCGTTGAGTCCATCACACTGATGTAGCCCAGGGTCATGTCCTTCTCAAAGTTCTTCATTAGAAGCTTGCTTACGTCTCGCTCCTTGGACACTATCATCAGTTTGCGCTGCAATTGCTCCTCGAAATTCGAGTGCCGTTTCAGTTCGATGTTCAGTTCCTCGAGGTTCTTCAAGTACAAAGCGCACTTGACCTCCAAGTCGCGCACAATTCCCTGAATAATTGGAGTGAATAATGTAGATTGAGCGGTAAACGGAGTGGTTTGCCACCTATGTATGTACATACCTGCATATGCTTGCGATCGGACTCCGCGGTGCACTTATCTGCCACGTAAATGAGGTTATGCTGGAGCATTGTCTCGATGCGTTCGCGCAGAGCCATCGGGGTGGCCAACGTGTTTTGCAGGCAGTGATCCTGGGCCAGCTGCGTCCACTCCACGAGCTCCTGCTCCGCATGCTTTAGTTTCACCTGAAGCGAAGCAGCCTCGGCACGCACATTCTCATCCCGTTCCAGTCGCTCCTTGTAGTCGTTCACCTGCTCCTCCAGCAGCAGTTTGTCACCAATCAAAGTGTGTAGATTCTTGTTGGTTTTGCGCAGGCGCTCCACTTCCGCCCGCAAGTCTGGCACACTGAGCAGAGTCTGCTGCGCCACCTCGGTTATCTCCTTCCAGTCCTTGTACGACTGAATCTCGTACTCCAGTGCCTTGATGCGCTCGTTGGCCATTTGAAGGCTTTGCTGCTGCAGCTCGAAATTGTTGCGCAGTGCGACGTGTTCGGAAACCTGTTCTCTCAACTGCGTGTTCCATTGGCGCACGAACTCCGCGTCGTGACGCGTCGCCTTCAGTTCCATGGCACAGCGATGGGCCATCCGGCGAAACTTGTTCATCTCGTTGTTGGTGCGCATCTGGGCATCGTGGTGGTCCGCCTTCAGCGCACACTGCTCCTTCTCCCAGTTGTCCTGGGCCGCATCGTTCTTCAACTTGAGTTCGGCCAACGCGGCGGTGGCCAGTCTGGCCTCAGACTTTTGGGCCAACTCGCGGGCTCGCAGCGTCTGGTACTCCTCCTGCAGCTCCACGTACCGCTTGCCGGTGGAATCACACTGCGCCTTCAGGACCGAGCTCTTGTTCTCCGCCAGCATGAGGGCCTCCTGGTGCTCCCGAATCATCTGATCGATTTCACCGCGCAACTTGATGACCAGTGCCTTGCTCTCGATCAGTTCGACGCGCAGTTTCGTGATGGACAGCGAGGAGCGTTCCGGCGGCACGGACTCGGCGGAGGAACCAGTGGCATTCTGGCTGCCTGCCGGCGATTCCCACTCCAGGCGACGCTTCTTGGACGCTGCCAGAGAGGATAGTCATATGAGGTTTTTGAGGGCTTTTTCTTCTTCTGCAGAAGAAGAAACATTGGGAAATACTTACAAGCCACGTGGCCGTTGCCAGCGGAAGTCGAAAGATTGTTAACGTACTTGCTGTTCGGTGTTTCGTCCATTTCAAGTCAAGTTTCGGTTTCGCTTTGCTTTTGGTTAATAGCTTTTATTTTGTTAAATAATTTCTGATTTTATTTTGGCGTTGAAAAAACCGGAACGAAACGATACACAGTTTTGTGGCTGCCTGTTTTACCCAGAATGACAAGTCATAATTTCTAACAGGACTGTGAACCACTCCGGAGTTGAACCACTCCAAACCGAAGCGGTTCAGAACTTTTTTAACGAACCGAACCATTCATTTTTGACTATTTTGTGTTAATTGGGAACAATTCGTTTCGTTTTTGCCTTTCCAATAGGTTTCGTTTCATTTAATCGTTCCAAGAATGCCAAATAATGATTTTTAAAAGGACTTCGAATCACTACGGAGTTGAACCACTCCGAGCCGAAGCGGTACAGATTTTTTAACTTTTGACTATTTCGAGTTAATTGGGAACAATTCGTTTCGTTTTTGCCTTCCCAATAAGTTTCGTTTCATTTAATCGTTTCAAAAAACGCAATTGGTATGTAAATTTCTGAAAAATAAGATTCTGCCGGTTGGACAAGTCAAGTTCTTCGAACTGGCGACTTTGCATAAAGTAATGGAAAACCAAAAGTTCGCGGCGTTTTCATTTATAATCAGTGTTGGGAAATAGAGCTGGTAAACTATCGATAGTGGCCCATTCGATATTTTCAATGTTTTGGGAGACTAAAATTCGTTACTATCGATAGTATCGTTATTTGTACGGTTTTTTATACAAATTCAAATTATAAGCTATGTACCTCCATTGTGTATATCATATTTAATATATATATATATATATTACAAAAGTACTTAAAACTACCACCATTACCAACTCCAATTTAAGTTAATTTAGAAAGCAGTTTCATTAGAAAAGTTTAATATTTAATTTTTTGCATTTTTTCTACCCCAATTTCTGCAACCAAGGCTTGTGTTTTGTGCTACATTCAGTGGTAAATAAAAAATACTAAATCACTACCGAATTTCCTTTTTTATGTTCGCCACAAGTTGGCAGGCCCAGCATGTCAAAAAACAAAACGAGACGTTTACCAACACTCTTCCCAGTTGTATAACCTCCGCCGCAAATATTTTTTACAGGCAACTGCAGCAGCTCGAATTCCGTGCAATTAAACCTTAAAGTGAGTGGAGGGTAATCAAAATGGGAACATCTCCAAGGATTTAACCTAATCAATACTCTTGTACCCGCAGAAATGGCTGGCGAAGGCGAGAAACTGACCGGCATGTCGAAAATCTTCAATGGCACCACCATGTCCGGCCGTGCCAATGTGAGTAGTACATAGTTCTGTTTTTCCGCTTAAATTCCCGCCTCCGTAATCCTAATCCTAATCATCTGCAGGTTGCCAAGGCCACGTACGCCGTGATGGGACTACTGATCGCCTACCAGGTGCTGAAGCCCAAGAAGAAGTAGGGCGCTCCTTATTCGCATCCGCATTATGTTCACGAAGATCTGGACTCCGGGGATGCCACCACCGCTGGACTCTGGATCAGACGCCTCAAGTTTGCCGGGGCGGGTTTATTTTATGTGTAGTGCAAGACCTTGAAGGAATAAATAAGCTGAGAATGTAACACACTGAACCCCGAAGTGCATTATGTAACGATCCTTGCTTTCATGGCATCTTTATTCGGGCTCCATTGCAAATAAGGCACTTATCATTTGGAAACACACACTGTTTTGTCGGGCAGTTCCCTGCATAGTTGTGTTGCCCTTAGACATATAGATATTGCCTCCAAACATCTGCATCCAAAACAACACATCTGCCCTTGAAGTGGGTACCAGAAAAAAATAACAAGTGTCCAGAGAAGAATTAAATCGTCTTGAAAGATATTTCTTAATCTTCAAGATGAACTGAACAGTGGTTCTGATTTGCAGTTTATCAGAGTGTTCTTCTGAAGTAATATATGTCCCTTTAAAATGACTATTTATTTAGCCGCGGAAATATTTCAAAGCGGATGAAAGATTCCTTTTAATTTTTAAATCGGAATACTGTCTATAACTTAACCCATTTATATAGTGGAAAATAGATAGGTATTATTAAAAGAATAAATTTATGTTTATATAATCTGCTTAAATTCAGCTTATTAACATATTTTGGTCACAGAAATATTCACAAATCAAAAAGAGATTTAAATAATTCAGTCTTCACCTTGTTATGGTTGAATATGTGTCGCTCGCTCAATTAATAAGTTATTAGTTTATTTTTAAGTTTACCAAAACTTAATTTAAAGGTTGATGACGTTTCAGAAATCCAAACCTTGCTTGCTTTAAAGCCGAGAATAACTAAATTTATACCTATCTAAAATTTGGAATTATATCTCTTCCACCAGAAGATATAGGACAATTTAATTAGGCCAAGTCCTAGTTGAATGGGCTGTTTTTCATTCACATATTACCATCCGCTCTTATGATGGTATGCTGGCAAAACAGCAACTTTTCTCTCTATCCCATGTGATTGTGAAAAGATCGAATACAAACCGGTATATAAAATCTAAAAATGTCCGTAGAATTTTGCCAATCAAAATTGCAAACTGAAAGATAGAAAATATATGTCGATGAATGGAAAAATCAGTAGTTTTCAATAGTCAATGAATATGTCTTTCAAACTGCGGGTTTTGATTCACTTTTTGTTTTTGGTTTTCTGTTTTTAATATTTTATTTAAAGTTTTTATTTCATTTCAAACTTGCTTTAAATTTCATCTTTTTCGTGGGTAGGGACTTTTTTTGAGAGGGCGGGGCGGGGTCGGAGCATTCGCAGCCCCAGTTTATCGAAATTTCAGTATTACTAAAAATTAATTTGAATGAATTGAATGTAAAAATGGTTTACATATATTTGTATGCTTATATTCTCCACCATCTACTCTTCTTCTTCGTTCCGTTTCCTGCCTAACCGTCATCGTCATCGTTATCATAATCGTTATCATGCTTATGCTGTTGCTATCCTTGTCTTGTCCGTTTTTTGGTGGAGACGAAAAACCAGATGATGCATTTAAAATATAGGTATAAATTAATGTTTATATCATTTATCAATATGCTATATAATATACCTTTTACATGTATTGTGTGATAGCAAGCCTGCTTTATTACTTTTACTCATCATTTCATTAATTTTTGTTTTTTGTTTTTTTTTTTATAACTAAACATTGCCTGGCATAGCAAACGTCCCAAATATTTTGGGTTTTTCATATTTGTGGGCGTGGCAGGGGCGTGTGTGAAAGAGTGTGTATGTGTGGACTAATTAATATCGCTAAATGGTTTCGGTTTTTATTTCGGTTTTTTTTGTCAGAAGCCTAGCGAAAAGTGCCTGGCTTTTGCCCTTCTTTTTCTTGTATTTCTTATTTTGCATTGTTTATTTATTAATTCTACTACATTTAGTCGCAAAGTCCTACGGAACGGGGCAAGGACTTCGACGCCCCAGGTGGCTTTTAGGGAACCAAGAGATCCGTGGCCCATTCCGCCGGATTTCGATCCGAGTATAATCGTATTAATTACTGTTACTGGGATATATGTGTGGTTTTTTGCTTTCCTTAAAAATGTTTGCTGGAGTGTTTTTGTTTTTCGCTTGGATTTTGCCTCTATATATATTTATTTTATGTGTGAGTCTCGTGTTTTTCTGTGTGTGTGTAGTATATGCCATACATATCATATCCTTGTTAAGTTACAGTTACATAATGAATTACACATTTATATAAATTGTTTAAATTTCATGTTGCCTCCTCTCACCTCCCCGTTACGTTGCGCTACCGTTAGAATTCTACCTTGAGCATAAACATCCTTTTACTCGTCCTTTCTTTCAGATTGCAGGACAGGCGGGTTAATGATAATCGATTAACTAATTATCGCCGGCAGCGACCGAGGTGGCAGCACTGGCTGCGAAGGTGTCGGCGGCGTTGCCACCCGTGTGCGATTGCGCTGAACACTGTTTTCAAATTTAAGCTTGGGTCCATATTTCGTTTCTCCCTCTGTTTTAGTTTAAATTGTAGTTAGGATCAGGATCAGTTTACTATATATAACAGTATAGAGCCCGACGAGTACAATTTGTGACGCAATTGTCTATTTGTTGTAGTTGTTTTGTTTATAAGACGACAAGATTTCTATATGTATTTGTTTTTCGTTTGAACTTAACTTTGCGCTTAAACAAACTCTCTCCCTCGTTCGTTTGCTCTGTCTCTGTCTCTTTCTGTCTGTCTATGTCTGTCTTTCTCTCTCTGTATGTCTGTCTGTCTCTCTCTTATTCGCTGTCTACACAGAAAGATTGATATCGATAGATATAGATAGATAGATAGATTGTATATATAATGTATATTGTAGCATAAACATAAATTAGAATTATTAGTTGATTTTTTGTTGGTTGCAAAAAAAATTAAACAATATGTATATAATATAAAGAAATTAAAGCATACGCAGTGCCAAAGGTTCATTTTGTTTTTCTGGTTTCGTTTGTTTTGTTTCTTGTTTTGTTTTGTTTAAATGAGAAAGACTCTACTACAAAAAATCATAAGTATATAAAAGTAATATATTATTATGTAAATTTGTTTGACAAAAAATACACTCTGCTATTTTATGTAAGTATGTATGTATATGTATATGTATGCATGTGTGTGTGTGTGTGTGTGTGTGGTGTGTGGTGTTGTTTTTAAATATTTTTTTCTTCTTGCAATTAGTATTTCCTTACTCGTTTCCTGTTGAACCCTTCGTCTTCTCACTATCGATTTGCGATTCATCGCTACGTTTGCCTTTCGCTGATTATTTGCTGAGTTGCCTTTTTGCCTTTATGCGGTTATATGACGGGGATTCCCCCAGTAGATCACTTTCCTACTCACAACATCCCCCTTTTACATGATGTGAATGAAGGTTGGATTTTTGTGTTCCGCTTGGTTTCGCTGCTTTGTTGATATTCTTTCTCACTTTCTCTTGGCTTTCGCTAGAGTTTTGACTTTCTGCTGCTGCTGCTTTCTGTGTTTGCGTTCATTCATGTTCTCGTTTTGGTTAAGATACGTTTTCCTCCAGCTCTCGGACAGACCGCCGACTGACGACTGACATCCTCCTGCCTTCCATTTGTATCTCACTTGATTTTGTTGTTCTCGGGTTTGCTGACGGGTTTACTGACGGGTGGCTGGTGGATGGTGGACTGGTGGGTGGTGCTCGCCTGCAGTTCGCTCAGTTCGCATGCCACTCCCCGCGATTGGCCCCACCGCCCGTGCCGGCGGCGTTATTCGCATAGTAGGGTTTTCCGGGTCCGGAGCCCGCCGCTCCGCCCGCTCCTCCTCCTCCGACGACCGCTCCGCCTGGACCGCCGTTGCCACCGTTATTGCCGCCGGGCGGTCCCACAGGGGTATTGCTGCCGCCACCGCCGCCGCCAGCACTTCCGGGCACTCCTCCGCCGCCACCGGTCACCTGGCGCATATTTTGGGCCCGCTGAGCCGCCGCCGCTGCTTGATCCCGTTGCTGCTGCTGCTGTTGTTGCTGCTGTTGCTGCTGCTGGGGATGCTGCGGGTAGTTGTTGGGCCGCTGGATGGGCGTGGGATAGCGTCCTTGGCCGCCGCCACTTTGGCCAACGCTGCCGACGCCATTGCCACCGCCGTTGCCGCCCACCTGGGAACCACCGCCTCCTCCTCCACCTCCTCCTCCGTTGCCGCTGCCGCTGCCCACAGCCCCGCTGCCTCGGCCGCCCAGGGCATTCATGTTCGGCCCGTTGCCGCCGCCGCCCTGCCGCTGTTGCTGCTGAGATTGCTGCTGCTGCAGCACCTGGTTCTGCAGGTCCCACTGGAAGGAGGAAATGGCAAAGGCCAAAGGCAATTAGCAGGAGTCATCGACAAAGAGCTCAGCCAAAAGACTTACCGCTCCGTAGTTCTTATGGTGCGGTGGACTGGGCTGCGACTGCACCTGCTTGGCCAGACCGAGACTCATGTCCGCGCTCAGTGGACTCTTCAGCTGGCGACCCATCTAAGAGGAGAAGGAGCAATACCAACAATTAGGAGAGCTATATAAAATATCCCAAATGGTTGAGATATAAGTCTGCATGCTAGTGTCGTTGGGATAAAGTTCGAGTTTTAAGTAGATTTAAAAGACCCACTGAAATAGAAACCTCGGAACGTGAGAGGAATATGTTAATTTGCATCAATTTTTTTTACTTTACAAGCTTTTTTCACTTACAATTTTTAACCAGAGGTTAACTTCTGTATATGACTTTCTAACATTACATTGTTGTGTTCATTAATTCGATAAATTATGGTCATACTATACAATTTATCATTGGTGCGAGCAAGACAGATATGTAACATATATGTCAACTCCAATGAGCAGTGAAAACCGAAATACTAATCAGATTTTGGTATCCAAAAATGGTTGGATAATATGATAATATCCAACTGGTGGCCATCATTGGATTCAATGAACGAAGACCAGTGGTCTTGCACTGTTTCTCTTTATAAAGCGATAGAAAAACGACAAAATTGTTAATGATAAGGCTTTTCTTTACTCAACCAAAAAAGAACAAGAGAAAATGCTTCAAAATTGGGAATAACTCAAAGATAAAACCAACAATTATATGCTTCTTGCCAATCTCTGGCTCCGAATC